GACGTTTCTCAATTACGACGGTCATGTCATTGAATGTATCGGTGTTGTTTTGCGAAAATGTACCCAAAAACTAACGGTCGTAGAAAAAGTATAGTATGCAACACGTTCGGTAAACTTTTTGCATATATGATATATACTATTAATTTTCAAACATATCCCGATAAAAATCGCTGGTTCTAACATTCTGTCACTCGATCACGTGAACGTCACGTCTCAGCTGTTGACGGATCGGCTGTTAACAAACCTACCCCCCCCGGCCACCGGAACGCGAACGCCGTTTTTTCGACAATTTTTGAACATTCGAACATTTACTACCATCTCTACGATTACACGCAATCCTTTGAAAAGGCAATTTTCTTTTGCTTTGAACTGCCGTTACCGAATTATCGGATAGAAGCCGGAAATTTCTGACGTCTGACGATTATTATTGACGTCGAATTCAGTGAAAAAAAGGAACGAGGCCAATATAGTCCGTTTGATGTTGAGCGAGCCGGTAATAAAAAAGGACTGCTTAAAAAGGACGTCTCGTAATAATTTTAAAAACTTTTGCCATACCTCCGGGTATAAAGGCCATAAAACCGGAATTCGCTTTGCGGAGAACATGGGCGTGCGGGGTCAATTTTTTTCGAAATCGAATTTTTCCAAAATATCTATCTGCGCTCGTATAAAAACTTTATATCTCGGTAACGGTAGGTCCTATGGGATCGCCGTTGGTACATAAATGATCACCAAGTATTTTAAAAAATAAGAAATGGCGCCTACAGCGATCTACAAAAAACATCATTTTTCAAAAACTGTTTACGAGACCAAAAAAATTATTGAACCAGAAGAACCAGAGGATACGGCTCTATGAACTGTTATTCTTGAAAATTTTTCAAAAATATACAGTATTATGCCGAAAATTCCAAAAAAAACTGAAAAATGAGTCCCCCTAATATTGAAAATTGGTTATAACTGAAAGACTCTGATTCTGATCTCACTTTCTTTTATATTGCGATATAGCCCGCATAGGCAGCGAAAAACTTTTGTATTTAAGGTTTTCACGTAATGTAGAGGGTGTCCCGATATTCCGTGCTAAATGAGAAATGTGTTAAGTGCCTGATATCAACTTCAAATTTAGCAGAGAAGTAAAAGTCCGTGTCCACATTTAAACGGTAGAAATCAAATTTTACCAAGTATTTTTTGAAAATGTTTGAAAATTTCCACAAAAATATGTTTTCCTCCATAATCGTTCATCCGATCAGCAAAATTCTTTAACCGGCAGACGCAGAAGATCCAGCGCAATAACATTTTTATTTCGAGCATTTTTTAGAATATATACAGTTTTCAAATTATAGGCAAAAATCTAGACCTAGACCTAGAAAATTGTTCTTTTTCAGAGTAAATTATTACCCGCAAATCAAAAATCTTAAAACATATGGCTATTTGATTCAAAAGGTGTCTTAGGCAGCATCAAAATGTACAATTTTTGTATTTGCGGTTTTCGGCTATCACATACGCTGTTTGGGATATTTGAAAAACTCCATATTGAAATCGTTATTTCGGAGGCTACCAAAACGAGATGAAGTCATTGATATTACTTCTAACAATGATTGAATCATATACAGGGTGTGTCGTTATGGGCAAAAAATTGAAAAGATCCATAAATTTCCGTTTTTGTGGGTAAATTATTGGCGATAAATGAAAAACCGTTAAAGATGGGATAATTTTATTTGAACAGTATCGTAAATCGTATCGTGAGAGTTTCAGGTTTCGTCAATTATACATATCATTCTACAATGCAAATAATTTGTGCAAATTTTAATATATAATTCGATGAGATGTGAAGGACACTTTATACAGGGTACATGCACAATTAAATTACATCGATTTTGCGAAAATTCCATAGTGGTCCGCAGGAGCATGAAAAACAATGCTTTCCTCTAGGACAAAAAGCCTTTAAAATAAAGAGCTTCGTAAAGACTTTGTAGACTGCGTACCGCATAGTACGACACAGACGATTCGCACTGCGCTGGATTTTTCGAAATCAATGTTGTTACTTTCGAAAAATCGATAAGATCGAATTTTTCGAAAGGATACGCGCTTGGCAACGAAACTCATATCTCGGCAAAGGGAGGTAATAGAGGATCCCCATTGGTACACAAATGATCAGGATCGAAAAAAAATTTTTTGTCTGTCCGTTCTCCGTTCTCTGTCGACGCTTCATAAAAACCGTTGGAGCCAGGATACTGAAAACTGACCACGAGATACGTAAGCCCATAGGAAATAGCAGCGATTAGAAATTGATAGTTATCTTTTTTTCGTGATTTTCCACAGTTTTTTGTACATTGGTATAAAACACGATAAGTGTCCGAAATTTGAAGCTATCGACTTCATATTTGGCAAGCAAATAGCGTGTGGTCACGTACTGCGTTTGCATGGACTTCAAAAAAAAAATAATTTCTCGAAAACGGTGTACGAGATCGAGTAAAATTGTGTATTAAAAGATCCGCAAGACCCAATATTATTATTATTGGCAAAAAACTGAAAATGGGGGTCTTTTAATGAAAATTTACCATAACTAGTAGACTGCGATTCAAAAGTCAATTTGTTTTACACGAAAATATAGCTCGTGTAGCCAGCTAAGACTTTTGGGTTTAAGGTTTTTACCTATTGTACAGGATGTTCGTGCATTACCGTGCAATACTAAATTTGCAGCCACCGACTTCAGATTTAGCACAGAAGCAGAAATCCAGACCCACATTTAAACCATTAAAGTAGCGCAAAGTATTATTTAAAATTTTTTGATTTTTTTTTGTGATTATTTAGGTTTCCAGAAAAAAAATATTTCCTGCAAAACTATTATTCCGATCGGCAAAATTCTTTCACCGGCAGAGGCAGAAGATCCAGTATTATAACTTATATTTCAAGTATTATTTTGATTATATACCGGGTTTTTCAGTAATGGGCAAAAATATAAAAGACCCTGAAAATTGTCTGTGTGTTCGAGTTATGGAGTGGCCAATATGCAGTTCCGACCTCAATCCGGTCGAACAGTTATGGGATGAGCTAAAAAGTTAATTTTACTCGTGCAGTTATTTTACTATGCTAAACCTAAAATGTTTTTCCTGTATCCAGTCTTAAGACTTTTTATTACGTTCTGGTCCATCGGCTGTAATACACTTGGTGTTTTGCTCAATATTTCGTAGATTTGGAATAAAGAGAAATAATATTTTCCTCCCCTTTAATTCCGCCTCCCATTTCCGTACCTCATCTTCAAAAATTTGCGATGTCATCCATGCAGACTTGTTTGCCTTGTAAGTGACTGGCAAATGCTTGATGTTCTTAAAACATCGTCGGTTAGTTGATTTTTCAATCAGAACTAACTTTCTTTTTTCTCTCCCACTCATATTGGCAGCTACTAACACTGTTATAGAAATTTTTCCACCCACACACTTTTCCCTTCGAAATTTTCTGCTAGTTTTGACCACGTCTTCTCCAGCCAATGGTTAGTGATGTTTCTGTCGACATCACGGACTTCGCCACTTATCTGTCCATAGTTTATACCATGTCTCTGTTTGAACTTCCCCAACCATCCTTCCGAAGCCTTGATATCGATAATGCCAAACTGTTCAGCAAAGTTTTCCGCTTTTAGTTTTACGATAGGCCCAGAGAGTGGACATTTTTAAGACGTTACTGTTGGCTGTTGGAAACACTCCAACATTGCCAGATCCAAATCTTCAAATTTTGGCTTTCTTAGTTTTTTACTAGAACTGCCCGCCGCTTCAGCCTGAATGATTTTTTCTTTGCACTTCCAAATCATGGACACAGTCGACGTCCCACTTTTCTTTTCTCCCCGTTCTATCTCCGGAATTAAAGCAACTTTATCATCTAGAGATAAAATTTTTCGCTAACTCGCCATATTCACCGTATTCACAAGTCAAATTAGAACTGATTGAAACAATGGTGTGCTTTTATACATACCGATAAAGGCATTAACATAATCGCTTACTACGAGAAAAATACTTAGGTCAATAGTCTGAGTAATTAGATTAGAGAAGGTAAAAGATTCCATTAATTACATTCCTTACTTTGATACCTCATGTGCTCTTTTATCTTTCGGTATAGAGGGTGAGAAATTCGTTGTACAGAGTGGATTAATTAAGCTTTGTATTGAGACCTAATAGTACAAAAAATTTTGTTCGTAATACAGAGTTTTACGTTATACAGAGTTTCGCTATAGGGAGTTTTCACTGTAAATGGTATAGATGTCTTTAATTAGTTCGTGTGTCTATCAAAACGCAGTTAGCATTTGCCAAAGAAGCCATGCTGAGCAGGATCTGGAAGAGTCCGAGACGTAGCCCTGTCTACAAAGATGAGACTCGTCAAAACCTTGGTATTCTCCTTTACGAATCAATTAATTATAAACCAGTTGAAGATTAAAAAAGACTGCGCACCATCGTTTCTGAGCGAATTACATCCTTCTTTGGACATGTCGTCAGAAGAAACGGACTGGAAAAACTCACTATTCAAGGGACGGTGCAAGGAACGTGAAGCCGAGGAAGATCTCCAGTCAGATATGTGGACCTCAATGTCAAGCAAACCGGAGTACCGCTCAACGAATGCTTTAGAGCCGCTGAAGACAGGCGGAAATCGAAAGACCTTACAGATCATAGATCATGATGGCACGATGCCCGAAACGGGTGACCGAATAAGAAGAATTACTATATATTATATAATACAATAATACGAAACTAATTATTATTTTGGGGGTCGAATTTCGAAGATTACCAAGGTTAATAATAAGCCTTACCGTTGAAATGAAAATCCCGTGACGCCAATGTTGCACTTCGATCATCCCGAATCGGAAAAAAAACGGCGCCCCAATTTGCCGCCGGCAAATTACAAATAACGACCCCCGCCCCCTCGCGACTCCACCCCGAGCGTATCGATCGAGAGAGGTCCAATCGAAAATATTCGCGAGCCAGATTGAAAACGCAATTCAAAAAATTTATAATCACCTTCCTGCTCCCTTCACCTCCAACCGGACGGGGCTGCCGCTCCCGTGCCGCGCGTCCCTCCGGTGCCGGCCCCGTTGCTGCGCCAATGGTTCGTAAGCGGCGACATCGTAGTGGTTGATCCAGGAGTTCAAGTCGACGCCTGGACACAAAAACAAAATCCTGCCGAATTATATCAGAACCACTTGAAAAATTTATTTATTTATAGAGTTGATTGCGCCATAATAATTTGAAAATAAAAAAAAACTGCGTCGGGCCGCTTTGGAAAAAAAAATTTTTTTTCTTATTTTTCTATCAAGTATCCAAGACTTCAGTAGAAGGGTGTAGAAATTTTAAAAAATATTACGTCATCTATGGAACGCAACCTTAAATCTGTTATCAGACTACGTGAAAAAGTCTGACAAAGATTCACAAACCAGGACTACCCCTTCGACCTATTGTCAGCACCATTGGTTCTACAACATATTACCTAGCTTCTATATTAAACCCCTTTACACTGATAGTTTCGCACTTAATTGCTTTCACATCATTGAACAATTAGAAAGCATTGCATTAGATACACAATATATTCTGGTAGGTTTCGACGTAGAATCCCTCTTTACTAAAGTTCATATTCCTGAAAGTCTCAACATCATTTCAGATATATAAAAATTCAAGAAGCTGGAACCAAACCTTCTCACCTTAATTGCAAAATTCTTGTCCCATTCTTAGATATTCTTATCAATAGAAATTCAGACCTAACTTCGGGTCATAAAAAGAGCACAGCTAACATTTCAGACAGGATGGTCTACAATGATAAATTATTAGATAGTCTTACTGACATTTGAAATGCTTTTGTTGATTTCTTGGCTAAATCTTACTCTGCTAACTCTTCTTCAAAGTTTACATTTAGTAATAGCGATAATATGCAAGTTCTTTATTTTACATCTTTTCAAGAATGCGAAGTACTAGCGGCTCTTAGCAAACAAAAAATAAGACGACGTCGGGACATGATTGCATTCCGACGTTTGTTGTGCGAGTGTCCTAGCTCTACCACTTACATTTCTATGGAATACGTGCCTTAAATCTTGCACTGTGCCTGATATCTGGAAGTTATGCAGAGTTAAACCCATTTACAGAGAAGGTGACAATTTAGATATCACTAATTTTCGTCCCATTTCATTACTTTGCAATTTTTCTAAGGTTTTTTACAATCGTTTTAAAAACAGTATAACATCAAAGCCACATGGTTTTATCACCCAAATCTAGACTTGCGTTCTCAAACTGATGTTGTCTATACCGATTTTTCGAAGGCATTTGACAGACTTGATCATGGGATAATTATTTCAAAGGTATATGATTACGAATTATCATTGCCTCTAATCAATATGTTTTCATCTTATCTAAAAGATCGGCGCCAGTTTGTTATATTTGGTGGACACAAGTCTGTAAAATATGTCGCAATATCCGGTGTTCCTCAAGGCAGCACTTTAGGCCCCCCTGCCATTTAATATATATTAATATATCTCTTGAACAGTGTATCTAACTAAATAAATAAAATAAATTCATAATGCATCACCATCCGGCCCAAAAAGCCATCGGTAATCAACTCTCTTGTTTTCAGATCCGTAAAGCTATTTCAACCCGAGTCACTCAACCCAGAATTAAAACACACCACATCTGCTCTTCTCTCTAATAATTTCCACATTAAGGATATTAAGCGTTCAATCACAAAATACACTTCACCACAACCTTCCAATAGCAATGAAGCCGAAAGAAATCCCACCCTTGCCCTTTCCTTACATTCAAAACACCCCTGACCACAAATCCTTAAGGTCAAAACCAGATTTACCACTTGTCCAAAAATCTCTCAACATCTGTGGTCCATCAAAGACAAAATTCCATTTGAGGTGCCAGGAGTTTACAGCATTCCATACAAATGCGGATAAGAATACATTGGAGAGACCGGACGAAAAATATCAACTACGCTCAAAAACCACAAAAGAGCCAACTAAGTTCATCAGCAGTTGCCGAACACAATCACGAAACTGGACATAAAATTTCATACCATAAAACTAAAATTCTTACATGTAATCAATTCTTCTACCAATGAAAAGTCCGAGAGTCTATAGTAACCTGACAATATTAACCGTGACTGAAGTTACCAATATCATACATCCGAGATATTCATACCTCTCATTGAGGTCCGACCCCCTCAAACAGTATATAAGCAGGTACAGAGTAAAATGCGAGCCAGTTTCAGTCAAGCTCTGAAGACGCCAACAGTATGACTGGTGAAACGCCAGCAAGTGCGACTCAGCAAAAACCGATGCAGGAGGAACCAGAAATTGTGTAAAATAGTAGAAATGTAACTTATTTTTGTCAAATTGACAGAAAACCCAGTACAAAAAAGCGAAGAGGTTTTAGGACAGGTTTCACCTTCGAATACGAATATAAAGTTTAATTCCCGATCTTCATTTCATACGAAATCCCCCTGCGGCTACCGCACCCCACAAGCCCTGACGCGAGAAAAACACCCGTTTTGCTTTATCATCGTTAAACAAAACTCAGCCGACTGGCCTGTCCCGCCATTAATCATCATTACTTCATTCTATGGGTTTCCCTAGTTCAGAGAAAAACCCGATAGAGGGGGGAAGGGAAATAAAGAGAAAAAAAAAACGGCGCCGAACTGTTTTTAAATAACGATTAGGGAGATTAAACGGGGGAATTAGGATCGGAAAAATAGGACGAAACCCTTTCTCGTCAATTTTTTTTTTCGGGAAACTGGGACGCCCCGCCCGCTCTATCCTCCATCTTCTCGCCGCGTTAGTCCTTATTATGTGTCTAACCCTCGTTTCGCAGATCTGGCGGCATAAAGGACATTTATCCCCGCCATCCCCCTCACGGGACAATCAATAACGGCCCCTTAAACTTCAGCTCATTACAAGTCTTGTATATATAAATCAAGAAGGAGGGGACTTCGCCACCCCCCCCCTCCCCCAAGCAGGGACATCTACGGACTCACGGGAAGTCGATGGAAATATTGGCATTTCTTTTATCGATGTTTCCACATTTGGAAATTTTCTAAAACACTAAACAGCCCCTTAAAGAAGTTTGTTGATAAATAAGGCACTCCCAATTGAATCCAAGTTCAAAATAGTGTCTGCCAGCACACTAAACTGAAACTGAGCTGAAGAATTAGGGTATCATGTTGAACTAATGGAGCTGGTTCGTTCACTCGCTCGTGCAATCTTTACTTAGTGCATAAATACTTGGATTAATCCGTAGCGATTGACATTAGACATTTAGGAGAACAATGCCGCTGAATAAACTTGCGAAGATTTATGCGTTAAATGGACAATAGTGGTAGTTGTACACGGCAAAATATCGCGCCGATGGTTTAAGGCATAGTTGCTATTTGTGATCGCAGACATAATACTAGCGGTAAACGTCAATTCTACGGTGTCGAGTACGTTCGTTGAGGGCTGGAATTTCCAAGAGTAAGGATTTACTTTCTAGAATGGCCACGTGCTTCAAAACCTAAGGTTAGTAACTGGTCGCAAAGTCAATGGCAACAGCTTACACACATTTTAGCCCGAAGCAGCTAAAACATTAACGAGACCAAATCACTGGCATTCTAGAAAGAAACGAAACGAAAAGAAGCATGCAACATGTATGCATAATGCCTCTCTCAATGGATCAGGAGTGGACTACGAATCGAATTACTCGAGTTACAGGAAATCTCTGCGATAATCTCAGTCGCCACTTGGCAAAGTGCTAGATCTGAATTGGGCCCTTACAATACTTCGTTTGTGTAAAGCATCAGAACAATAAAATATCACAAAACATTACTATCCAATCCGCCAATCTCCCGCCTCCTAACCCCAAAAACAAACGGGCAAAATAGGATAGAGGAAATGCGAAAGAACTACTCAGAGGCGGTGGCAGGAACTCCATGTTTACCCTTGCAGCGCTTCGCAGTTAAATTTGTAACGATTTTTAAACGAGAGAATCCGCCAGGTACGATAAATTCGTTTTATCTTAACCGGCGAGATCGTCTCCCACCCCCCTTCCGCCCGCAACACGCCGAATTTGCAATTGTAATAAAACTGGCCGCCCCCGGTTAAAATTCAGCGCCCGCGTACGATATATATACGCGAGTGGATTTTACATAAACGAGACGGCGAAACTAGGTAAACGGGGGCCCCGCCATTTTCCTCGTCTTTTAATAACACGCCCCACCCCGCCAAATATTTAGACAGCCGGCGACGTTGTTGATTTAGCTCGCTGCACGCCAATGAGGCGTTCCATCCGAACAGCAGAAGAGTATCTTTGGATTAGGAAAAGTTAACTAGTTTGGCAACGCCGCAACTACGCGCTGCCTCTCGTTTAATGATACGTTTTCCGTTAAAAGACAAAATTTGAATAAAAAGTCTCTTGCAAAATGACTAGAAGATGCGAGTCCTCGCCTTTAAAAAAACTAAAAGCTAAAGTAAAGAGTAAAAAAACGGGAAAATCTCTAATGTAGGTAAACTTTGTGCAACAAAAAAATTATTTTTAATCCACATTTGAAATCGGACATTTGTCATCATTTATCATCAGCACTGCGAGAGATAACCTTACCTTCAAATCGTTCATGCAAACTGTCAATTATGTTGTTTGGGCCCATATGATCAAATTTGAGCCATAAGAAATTCATTATCACATCACCACTGCGAGAAATAAACTTTTCTGCTCCCGTCTCTAAAATGGTTAATTACCCACCGATCTAGCGTGCGGGAAGCGTCACTTTACCACTCCAGTTTTGTTACCCACGGATCCAAGCCACTTCGGACATTTCGGGGATTTTACCGCACGAGTTTGAGAGCAATCGGATGTTTTCGAAGCTTTTACCGCACGGTTTGAATTTTGACGTTTGTCAATTCTGACGGTCATGTCAGTGAATGTATTCGTGTTTTGCGAAAATGTATCCAAAAACTAATACACAGAAAAATGTTATGCAATATATCAGACAATTTAAATACTACGTGCTATATAAAATTTTACTTAGAGTTCACATGAACTTTAGTGGTTTTTTACAGTTTTTATATTAATATATTGCCAAGACTAATTGTACGATTTTCTCATCATCATGTCTCATCAGTACAAACAAAACAAAATTGA